GGTGCACTTTATTCTTCTTGTATTGGATTGTTGTCTGTTAAAATTTAACTCAATTTCAATTCTACACCCTCTTTAAAACCACTGTTTCCATTGTTATAGATCAACACAACTCTACACAACACAACTCTATACATTTTGAGACTGTTAGCATTGGATGTAAGCTATCAATTCACCTTTACAATATTTGTGTCATGTCCATTTGTGTCCCAGCTTTTATTTTTCTACTGGTTGATGTTACCCTTTAAATCACTGTTCTATTTTTAGTTCTCTTTCATGCTTTGTTTAATTCAATACATTTCTTGGAAAAAACAAACCAGGTGTTTTTGTTATTTATAGAACTGTTCTCTTATTGGGATGGCTGGGTCGGGCTGGTCTTTGATGTCATCTACTGTCCCACACATACAAACCTACTGTCCCACACATACAAACCTGCTGTTCCACACACACAAACCTGCTGTCCCACACAAAGAAACCTGCTGTTCCACACACACAAACCTGCTGTTCCACACACTCACTATACCACACATACAAACCCACTGTCTCACACAAATCCACTGTCCCATACATACAAACTTATTGTCCCACGAATAAACCTATTGTCCCGCACACACACTGTCCCACACATACAAACCTGCTGCCCCCTTCCCCCACCCAAACACACAAACCTACTGTCCCGTACACATCAACCGTCCCACACACACACCTATTCTCCCCCACACAAACTGTAACCAAGTACTTCACACACTGTCCCACACACACACACCTACTCTCCCCCACACAAACTAACCTAGTACTTCACACACTGTCCCACACACACACACCTACTCTCCCCCACACAAACTGTAACCTAGTACTTCACACACTGTTCCACACATACAAACACACTGTCCCACACATACAAACACTGTCCCACACATACAAACCTACTGTCCCCCACACAAACTGTAACACAGTTCTTCACGCCTATGTTTTGAGTACAGCACCATCCAGTGTAGACACTCGTGTTCACCGGCCCACACATACAAACACACTGTCCCACACATACAAACACACTGTCCCACACATACAAACCTGCTGTCCCACACATACAAACACACTGTCCCACACATACAAACACACTGTCCCACACATACAAACACACTGTCCCACACAAACACACTGTCCCACACAAACACACTGTCCCACACATACAAACACACTGTCCCACACATACAAACACACTGTCCCACACAAACACACTGTCCCACACATACAAACACACTGTCCCACACATACAAACACACTGTCCCACACATACAAACACACTGTCCCACACATACAAACACACTGTCCCACACATACAAACACACTGTCCCACACAAACACACTGTCCCACACATACAAACACACTGTCCCACACAAACACACTGTCCCACACATACAAACACACTGTCCCACACATACAAACACACTGTCCCACACATACAAACACACTGTCCCACACATACAAACCTACTGTCCCACACATACAAACACACTGTCCCACACAAACACACTGTCCCACACATACAAACCTACTGTCCCACACATACAAACACACTGTCCCACACAAACACACTGTCCCACACAAACACACTGTCCCACACAAACACACTGTCCCACACAAACACACTGTCCCACACAAACACACTGTCCCACACATACAAACACACTGTCCCACACATACAAACACACTGTCCCACACATACAAACACACTGTCCCACACAAACACACTGTCCCACACATACAAACACACTGTCCCACACAAACACACTGTCCCACACATACAAACACACTGTCCCACACAAACACACTGTCCCACACATACAAACACACTGTCCCACACATACAAACACACTGTCCCACACATACAAACACACTGTCCCACACAAACACACTGTCCCACACATACAAACACACTGTCCCACACAAACACACTGTCCCACACATACAAACACACTGTCCCACACATACAAACACACTGTCCCACACATACAAACACACTGTCCCACACAAACACACTGTCCCACACAAACACACTGTCCCACACATACAAACACACTGTCCCACACATACAAACACACTGTCCCACACATACAAACACACTGTCCCACACATACAAACACACTGTCCCACACATACAAACACACTGTCCCACACATACAAACCTACTGTCCCCCACACAAACTGTAACCTAGTACTTCACGCCCATGTTTTGAGTACAGCACCATCCAGTGTAGACACTCGTGTTCACCGGCCCACACATACAAACACACTGTCCCACACATACAAACACACTGTCCCACACATACAAACACACTGTCCCACACATACAAACACACTGTCCCACACAAACACACTGTCCCACACAAACACACTGTCCCACACATACAAACACACTGTCCCACACATACAAACACACTGTCCCACACATACAAACACACTGTCCCACACATACAAACACACTGTCCCACACATACAAACACACTGTCCCACACAAACACACTGTCCCACACATACAAACACACTGTCCCACACAAACACACTGTCCCACACATACAAACACACTGTCCCACACATACAAACACACTGTCCCACACATACAAACACACTGTCCCACACATACAAACCTACTGTCCCACACATACAAACACACTGTCCCACACAAACACACTGTCCCACACATACAAACCTACTGTCCCACACATACAAACACACTGTCCCACACAAACACACTGTCCCACACAAACACACTGTCCCACACAAACACACTGTCCCACACAAACACACTGTCCCACACAAACACACTGTCCCACACATACAAACACACTGTCCCACACATACAAACACACTGTCCCACACATACAAACACACTGTCCCACACAAACACACTGTCCCACACATACAAACACACTGTCCCACACAAACACACTGTCCCACACATACAAACACACTGTCCCACACAAACACACTGTCCCACACATACAAACACACTGTCCCACACATACAAACACACTGTCCCACACATACAAACACACTGTCCCACACAAACACACTGTCCCACACATACAAACACACTGTCCCACACAAACACACTGTCCCACACATACAAACACACTGTCCCACACATACAAACACACTGTCCCACACATACAAACACACTGTCCCACACAAACACACTGTCCCACACATACAAACACACTGTCCCAAACATACAAACACACTGTCCCACACATACAAACCTACTGTCCCCCACACAAACTGTAACCTAGTACTTCACGCCTATGTTTTGAGTACAGCACCATCCAGTGTAGACACTCGTGTTCACCGGCCCACGCATACAAACCTGCTGCCCCCCACCCACACACACACCTTCTGTCCCACACATACACACCTACTGTCCCCCACACAACACAGTACTTCACGCATATGTTTTGAGTACAGCACCATCCAGTGTAGCAGAGGCGTAGAGACTCTTCCCGGCGCCCGGGTACAAACTTTCAATTTGCACCCCCCCCCCTCGAACTTTTCATTTGAAACCCCCCCCCCCTCAAACTTTCAATGTGGCGCCCCCCCCTAAGGTCGGCGCCCGGAGACATATGTCCCCCCCCCCCCTTCGCTACGCCTCTGCAGTGTAGACACTCGTGTTCACCAGCCCACACATACAAACACACTGTCCCAAACATACAAACCTACTGTCCCCCACACAAACTGTAACCTAGTACTTCACGCCTATGTTTTGAGTACGGCACCGTCCAGTGTAGACACTCGTGTTCACCGGCCCAGACTTGCAGCGACTAAAACTCGTTTTTCACATTTTTAAACTAGTGCAAAACGGTCAAATTATGAACCTTGAGAGAAATTAAATGTATTGATCTAAAAACAACATATTGGTAGGTTTACTTTTTTCTCATTGTATCCCTGGGTCCTACACGGGGTAGTGTAGTGGAATAAGCCTACTTAAAAGATTTGTTACGTGCGGATAGCGTTCAAATATTAATGAAGATGGTCTTATCTCAACACAAACAGTCGTTTGCAGCCCTTGGTAGTTTAGTTGTAATCAGGAACACGTGAGGAGGTGGTTGGGACATTCTTGATGGAATAAGTAATAATAAGAAGTTTAATGTCTAAACTTAAATTAAGTTTCCGGACATTTTTGTTGGAATAAGTAATGTAATGTTAAATGTCTAAACTTACACAATCGGACATTTTTGGTGGAATAAGTAATAATAGGAAGTTTAATGTCTAAACTTAATTATCCGAATATTTTTAATGGGATAAGTAATGTAATTTTTAAGTGACTAAACTTAGTATAAAGTGGAATAAATAATGTTAATGTCTAAACCAGGAATCATTAGATTCCAACTTTGAAGTATCAAGAAGTTTTGTTTTTATCCATGTGTATATGCAATCATGCGTCATGTGTACATGCAATAATTCTTTTCCGCTAACATTATCTATAAGCTCGACATATTGGTTTTAATTAGTTGAACAAATATATATCTAACTCGCAACATTTTTTCTAGTCATGTGCATTACCACTGGACCCCTCTCGTAACAACGAGTGATGTTGTCTGTCATAGAAATAAGGAATTAAAAGAATTATTTTCTACTTCATTAATATAAGGCTTATAAATTTACTCTAATGTGTATTCTTCAATTCAGATGATATATAAGATTTATATATTTGACTGTAGATAAATATACTTCTATAACATGAGCTCGTAAAGATGTTTCATTACGTATATAGATACAACTGGTAAATATTTGTTATATGGCGATTCCTTATTCTATTCTACAGTTTCGTTATTTACTTTCATCTAATTATCTATGTTTATATTTTCTCGATAGTTTTTGTTTTATTAATATAAGTTATAAATCTTGTACTATAACGGTTAAATAAAAATTTGCTAATAGGAGATTCAAGTAGACACTGGAGAATAACTAACTGTAAAAATTCAATACTTTGCACAACTTCAAGATGTGGATTAGAAGAGTTTTAATTACTCTGTGCATCGTCACACAAGGTTAGTTGCAGATATTTCGTAAACATTAAACAGACACTTTATATATAATATATAACTAAATTACATATATACAGTGGCGTAGCGAGGTCGGGTGTCACCCGGTGATGCACTTAATGGTGTCACCCCCAGAGGCGTAGCGACCCTTAACGGGGACAAACTTTCAAACTTTCGATGTGCACCCCCCCCCCTCAAGTTTATCTCTATATATTTTGCTATTTTTTGCCTTGGTGTCACCCCCCTAAATGGTGTCATCCGGTGCGGTCCGCACCCCCCGCCCCCCCCCCCCCCCGCTACGCCCCTGCATATATATATATATATATATATATATATATATATATATATATATATATATATATATATATATATATATATATATATATATATATATATACATATGTGTGTGTGTGTGAGAGAGAGAGAGTGAGTCTGTGTGTGTGTGTGTGAGTAAACTATTCTATAAATATCCATCAGTCCAGCTCGTCTTGGGCATAAAAGAAACCGAGTACAAAGCTGTCGATGACACAAACTTGACCACGCTGCCCATCTATGAAGAGTTTGACCAAGTCAGCCTTTTGTCCTGCGCCCATCTTTGTTCAAGCTCCGACAAAAATTGCTACAGCTACGTCTACAACTCAACCACACGACACTGCACACTGGGTAAGTTAAATCTGTTTCCCTGTTACTTCGTTCTAAATTTGAAGATTGGAGTAGGAAAAAAACGAGTATTAATCAGGAAAAACGCGTATATCCTCGATTAATAATTAAAGTAGAAAAAACGCGTCAATCAACAAGACAAACGCGTATATCTTCGACTGCAGTGTTTCTTCCAGACTTTTTTTCTCCGGGGGGGGGGGGGCACTTGAAATTTTCGGGGTGGGGGGGGGGGGCGGTAGACTTTCTTCGGTGGGGGGGGGGGGCGGACACTGTTAAAAGTATATATTTTCTATATAAATTATATAAATTTCATTTTGTTCGGGGGGAAGGGGGGGGGGGGCGGTAAAAAAATTTCGGGGGGCTTCCACACCCTCCGAAGAGATGCCTGGAAGAAACTCTGCTTCGACTGTTTTATCGTCCAGCTTAGCGTGCCGACTTACACTGTCCCTTTAATATAATTCCAAAATGTTTGATGTCTCTTCTATCTTACCCCTTGTTCACACAAAAGCATCGCAATAGAAAAGTTTGTTTACCTTGGGTAGGTTGTTGACCTCAGCTACCAAACCTCGTAGCCCGATGGTCCGGGAAAGAGCCTTTCAGGTTAGCAGTCATGCACACAACCTATCCGTAACCCGCGTGTAACATTTGTGCATACGTCACCCCGTGCCCCCATCTTAACAGTCGTAGACAAAACCAACCTGTGCCTCTTGTCTACCTATTCCCATACACTAAAAGATATCACTTTTCTACCTATTTGAACTATAAAAGCATTGCTAAAACAAAATTATAATATCAGATTATAAATCCCGTAAGTTCTGCTCAACCAATAACCAAAACAACACTACATGTCTGATTGTATGAAACAGGTTCCTGGCTAGTGCCAATGAAATCCTCAGACCAAAAGGTTCAAGGAAAGATCTGGTCTAGTGGGAAATTCTGTAACACAACCAGAAACATCACAGTCCTGTCTGATGGTTCCATCTCAAGACACGACCTTCTGATTTGTACAGGTGATGTCAACTATGTTCTCTCGTTACACTCGTATTTTCGCTGCATGGGTGTCAGTGCATTTACGTAGCCTTGTGTCGTCATCTATTTCATTACCAATGTCTCCATCATATTTATCTGATGTGTCTTTAATTCTTTTATTATAATATCACAATTGGTTTTATCGGTTGTGTCATGAACTCTTTCATTATAATGTCACCATTTGTGTCATTATGATGTATCATCATTTCTTCAATATAATATCATTATTTTTTTATATAATATGCCACCATTTATGTTATTATCCTCATCTTTAACCTTATTCCTATCATGAATCTGTTATAATCCAACCCTTAACCTATCCTTAGTTCAAACTCTTTGCTAACTCTTACCAATTCTTTCCGAAACCCATTTCTTATCACTGTTCATTATATTTTCTATTTAAATTCTATTTAATCTCCAGCTTCATCAGCCATACGTCACCATTTGATTGATTTTGAAAGGTTTTCAATGCGCACATTATTACTGTCCGTAATATACAGTAGCGTAGCGAGGGGGGGCGGGGTGTTGGAAAAATAAATTGAGGGGGGTGCAAATTGAAAGTTTGAGGGGGGGATGCAAATCGAAAGTTTGAGGGGGGGGATGCAAATCGAAAGTTTGAGGGGGGGGGGATGCAAATCGAAAGTTTGAGGGGGGGGGGGGTGCAAATCGAAATCTTGAGGGGGGATGCAAATCGAAAGTTTGAGGGGGTGGAAATCGTAATCTTGAGGGGGGTGCAAATCGAAAAGTTTGTCCCCGGGCGCCGGGAAGGGTCGCTACACCTCTGGTAATATAATGTGTGGTGTAAAGTCACCCCCCCCCCCCCCCCACCATACGATCAGGAAAAGAAATCTATTGAGAATTTTACATTTTTATTTCCAGGCAAGAAGGAATTATGCTCAGGCATAGAGAGCACTGACCCCCGACCTCTGGTGACCTTAACCTCTGGACTCCAGGTCATGTGTGACACAGTGACAGACGGTGGAGGATGGACCATTTTCCAGAGACGTGTTTCTGGGACTGAAGATTTCTACCGGAACTGGATGGAATACAGAAATGGGTTCGGGCTTTTCAGTAAAGGAAACTTTTACATGGGCAACGAAAACACTCATAACATGATACTGCAAAACAAAACAGTATTAAGAGTGGACATGGTCTTAAACGGACAAAGCTACTACGCTCAGTACTCTAGTTTCAGTATTTCCAACGAGGCAGACGACTACAGGCTACATGTTGGTGGCTACACAGGGGACGCCGGGGACAGCCTAGCCAACCATGACGGTATGAAGTTTTCAGCTTTTGACGTGGATCACGATATGAATCCCAATGTAAGCTGTGCTCAAGTAAGACGCGGGGGGTGGTGGTATAACGCTTGCTACTGGGCTAACCTTAACGGTGATTGGTCGGCTGCTGACCTACAGGGTATCAAATGGATAACCCTTAGCAACCAATCGCTTTCATTCTGTGAAATGAAATTTAAATTTGTTTAACTTCTTTGGAGATTGAAGGCATCATTAAACAAATTCATTCAGATTTTAAAAAAAAATATTGCTGTGTCAACTAATTTTGATTTTACAAACTTATTCAGATTTTTAAAAATATTGCTTTATTTTAAGTATATTTTCATTTTACAAACTCATTCAGATTTTTAAAAATATTGCTTTATTTGGAGTATATTTTCCTTTTACAAACTTATTAAGATTTTTAATTTTTATTGCTTTTTAAGTAGGCCTATATTTTCATTTTAAAACCTCATTCAGGTTTTTAAATATATTGCTGTATGTCAACTATATTTTCACTTTACAAACTAGTTGAGATTTTAAAAGTTATTGTTGTTTGTCAAATTTATTGTAAAATATGTAGTTCGATACATTTCCGTTAAAAAGGTGTATTTTTATAACGTCTACATTTGTAGTTTCCATTGATTTAGAGTTTTAAAAAACAAATTGTAACTACAATTGTAATAAGAGCGTTTGCATTGTTCACTTTAATTTATAAAAAAAATACTTGGCTAGTATTGATAATTTGCAACAATTATCACTACTTATAAGAACATCGTGCAAAAATATTAGAGTAAATTTCTATTAGCGTATCAACTACCTCAATGAAAATAGTGCAATTTTTGAGCTTATATCCATATGAAAATAGTGCAATTATTTTTCAGTACCTATTTATTAACGAAAGTAATGCAATAATCTGTGAGCTCTTATCTATTAATATAACAACTACCTCAATGTAATATTATTTGAGCTGATATCCATTAGCGCATGAACTACCTCAATGAAAATAATGCAATTTTTGAGTTCAAATCTATATGAAAATAGTGCAATTATATTTCAGTACTTACCTATTAACGAAAGCAATGCAATAATATTGAGTTCTAATCCATTAGTGGATCAACTACCTCAATGAAAAAAAAAACTCAAGCTACAAGCACACAATTATAACATCGCTCTTGTACCTGATCGTCAAATCAATTAGATTGTATTGTTACCAAATGTATGTACGCATGAAAGTTGTTTATTAATGTGTTTTATTAAGAAATGACAATTTTGTCATTCAATTATTTTTTTCATACATCTAACAAATAGTTAACACAGTTTAACGAAGTTTTTAATATTAAATGACCATGTTGAGACCATCCAGTTATACACATATAGTATTAGAACTTAACATACAACTGTGTATTTTGTATATGTAGTAGTAAAGTAAGTAAAGTTCCCTTTCAAACATGACGGTCTACGGGGCAAGTGAATTCACTTGTTTCTGTGACCTCGGAACATAAAGGGATAGTGTGGTCAGCACTATGCCCAGCCACCTTTACTTACCCTAACGTGAGTTAGGTACCTATCAGAGCTGGGTGGACTAAGTACGGTCTACTGACTTGCACCCGGATTCGAACTCGAGACTTACGGGTTAGCAGTCCAGCTCTCTACCGCTAGGCCGATCCGTCCCATTTGTGTACATATAATCAATTTTGGATACAGTCTCTACTTCTACTTTGTTCTTAGTTGTAATTTTGGATACAGTCTCTACTTCTACTTTGTTCTTAGTTGTAATTTTGGATACAGTCTCTACTTCTACTTTGTTCTTAGTTGTAATTTTGGATACAGTATCTACTTCTACTTTGTTCTTAGTTGTAATTTTGGAAGGGATTTCCTCCTACACAATTTAATAGTGCGTGTCAATTTGTTATGCGCCATTTTGGGTCATTGACTCCGATTTCAATCCGCTTTTCTTTTGGAGCTTTTTTTTCTTCTAGATGGGTTGCTGTCTCAGCTATTGAGCCTTATCTGTCCGGGATTCGATCTCGGGCTTTTTCTGTTTTCTGCACATTTAAACATGTTTCGCACATTGAAATGTCGCGAATTATCCAATTTTCCATCTTATATGTTTTACGTGTGAGTTGGCATCAGTATATTAAAGAAGTTCAGTTATCTTGATGCGATGAATTATATTATAGATCTAGAAACAAATTCACGATGGTTCAAACAATTGAAAGATTATACAAACTAATGTATTGCTGTTTTAGTAAAATTGTACCAATCTATTTGAATAGTTATATACAATGGCAACACACTAGTTAGCAGTGCTAAATTTATAATAATAATAATAGTTTTTAGTAACGATTCTATCTCATGCTGTAGAACAATTTGTTTTTTTTTTCTATTGTAAAATATGTTAGATGAACAATGTAAATGAAAACAATTCTGGGGCTTTTGATCATTATTATCTTTTCCCGTTCGTGCCCAAGACACAGTTCATCGGTTTCAGAGACCTCTTCATATGAGAGGATAATATGGTCGGCACTATGCCCAGCGACCTTTGTTTTCTGTAATGTGAGTGAGGTACCCATCAGAGCTGGGTGGACTCAGGGACATTCTATTCACTTGAACCTGGGTTTGAACTGGAGACTTTCGGGTTTGCAGTCTAGCTCTTTACCGCTAGGCAGCGCCTTTGATTAACATTTTAATGTCCATCTTTTTACATAGTGTTTTGAATCAAGTTTTAGGTCAATAAAGTGACATTTAAAATTAAATTATATATCTTATGTAGCTGCTGTTCTAATTGTGTTTTTTTTTCATAATGAAGTCAACTTATTATTTATCAATAGTTATGCGAGGGTAAATCTAAAGATGTTCCATTATTGAAAAGTTTAGTTTGCGGCTTTATATAGATTTAGGTTATGTCTTAAATACATCTATCAAGAGCCTATGCAAAACTATGACGTGGGACTAATTTTAAATCAATATGTACTTTGTAAAATTCCAATATAATTTAAGTTTTATCCTCTTTTCGGTCCATTCTGTTTATACAAATTTAGTCATTTTAAGAAAAATTGATCCAAATTTCTTCTAGTCATTTTTTTGTTGTTGAGTTTTTACTTTTTCATCTTCCTATATGTTGTAATAAAAAACTAATTTATAAAAACAATGTGTTTGTCATTAATCTTCTAATTAGAAATGTTTTTTTTTTGTATAATCTTTTGGATGGACGTCGGCAGTTATAAGTGACATTGTGAGTTAGAATAATTCTAAACATAAAGCTACACCAACCCACTCGTCACTAATGTGTACTACATTATAATTAAAAACAAAGCTGTATCAACCCATTCACCATTAATGCGCGACACACTATAATTATAATGCTTCGCCAACCTACAAGCATTTACGTGCAAAGCTTCTTCCAGACTTTTTTCTCCGGGTGGGGGGGGGGGGGGGGGGGGGCTCTTGATATTTTCGGGGGGGGGGGGGCGACAGCATTTTTCGGGGGAGGGGAGCGGACACTGGTAAAAGTATATGTTTTCTATATACATCCATTTTGTTCGGGTGGGGGGGGGGGGCGGTACACCTGCCTGGAAGAAACACTGTTTCTTTTGTTTTAAAACCGAGCTGTTAATTGTAATCCAGAGATAGAATGTTTTTTACACAACTGTACATTGAGAGATGGTCATTTAACTGGGTGTCATTTAGAATCGTTGTTTGTTAACTAGCTTGATGATCAGAACAGAATTCGGACTTGATAAGACCACAAACTATGTTTAATATGCTGCTCTTTACAAGCCGGAATATTATATGTAAGAATGAGTGGCTGATCCATATATATGTATGTATAGGCAATATATATATATATATATATATATATATATATATATATATATATATATATATATATATATATATATATATATTTATATTTGTAATACTTCGTTCGAGGGGCAGGAGACGTCCTTCGGGGTGGTTGTGGCCCCCCACCAGCATATCAATAGATGCCTGAAAGAAACTCTGTAACCACCGGGCAGAGCATTGATGGAAACCCAGTCTTCTAAATTTTGATGTCATCCTGACACGGGACTAGAGTTACATTTGGAAAATCTAATTTTAGGACACCACACAAAAAAAACTTTTGACGGAAGTTCTAGACCCCCTTTAAAGCATTTCATCGTTAGGGATAAGCCTGTATTTTATTAGAAGTATCTCCACGCAATTTTACTAATGGTGATTGGAAATAGTTGTCTTATTACAAGTTGGACAAAGAAATTTTTAAAAAAATATTGGGCCTATATGAAAAAAATATTAATTTTACTATTAAGTTTCTATATATGATATTAAACATATACAATGAAAATTTATCATGTAAATTCAGGGGTCTCCAAACTACGGCCCGCGGGCCGCATGCGGCCCGCGAGGTCATTTTATCCGGCCCGCGACGGTCTTTTTGTTCAATGAATAAATATTTGTTGGAGGTGGCTGAGGAGCTTTGCACAGAAAATTCAAAACTTTTTGAAAATGTAGCTTTGTGTGCAAATACAATTACTCGCCGTGTTGCAGACTCTGGCCCCCGAACTGATATTTAATAGTTAATGCGGCCCTCGGGCTGAAAAGTTTGAAGACCCTTGATGTAAATCATTTTTATAAAAAAAAAAAACAATTTTTTCCCTGCCAGACAGATGAATGAAAGCAAGCTGCGACTAAATTAAAACTTCCAACCTTGAAACCTCCTGCTCCTCTACTGCGCATGACAGATCACGTGTTAACCAAACATGCCCACGCGCAACATTGCCTGATTATTTGAGATAAAACATTCAATAAATCGATATTTAGAATATAGGGGTCATCAATAAATGACGGCACGCTTTTTTTTGTTGAAGATTTTTACCTCTCCCTCCCCTCAAATTTCAATTTGATCTTTGAACTCATTTAGCTCAAAATGTTGTTTTTGTGACTCAGTTACTTTAAGCACTAAGGTCTTCATTTTGTCTCGCATTTTACCCCCACCCGATTAAGAGGCTAAGAGTGGGAATAAAATGCGCTGATAGATCTATAATAATATGCGAAAATTTTTACCGCACCTGAATTCCATCATGCCGTATATTTCCATGAACTTTGATGCAGACCTTCATTTCTAAACACTATGTAAGAGGTCATCCATAAATGACGTCACGCTTTTTGACGATTTTTACCTCCCCCTCCCCTAAAAATGACGTCACACCTCAGCCTACAACTCCCCACCCCCTCAAAGTTGCTGCTGTATTTTTCTTAAAACATCGATATTTTTCCAAAA